ATTGTGCTTCATGTAAGGTTTATCCTAACAATATTTAAGAGAAAACATATATGAAGGCATTTGTGAGGACAGGAGAATTTGTTATTTGAAATTTACATTTTTTTTCTACTTTTCTGTCATTGTTAATTTATTCCGAGGTTACCTAAAGTATATCATTAAATTTTAGTATTAGTGTTTGCAATGTGAGTCTAAATTACTCTGTCATGGGTATATTACATAGGTGAGTTCAGATCTGTAGAGTATTCACTGATAACTTCTATATCCTTTGATTTTGGAAGTGTTTCCTATTTGAGGAAGTGAAATCTACTGAGTCAATTAGAATAAAAGAATTTCTAAGTACTTCCTTTTAACATGCGTATAACATGACTATGTTGAAGACTAGAAAAGGAGTTATTTATTGGTCTTCATTAAACATTCTTTTATCTTCTATTAAGTATATATTGACAGAAACATTATTTTAATCACTGAGGGACAATCTTGATGAGTTATATGTCTATTACAGACATTTTTCATGTGTATTCCATCAACCGTATGACAGAAACTAGGCAGAGTAACCAAAGTAGCACTTGAGAATTTATGGTGAGACTTAATTTGCATATGACAGTAGTCAGTTTATAAAGGAAGAGTGATGGGTGAATTCATATTAGAGTAAGCACCAGTGAGGAGATACAGTCTGTGTGATCTGTTTGCAAATCAGAATGGTCATTGCATCTATTTTGTTGATCTGTAATAAGAATTTTTGACAAATAAAGCTGAACAGAAAATACCTTCTGTGATATCTTTGTTATAACAGCTACTCTGACACCCATTAGGCATTTGTGTTACGTTAAACTTTTGGGTGGGAAGATTAGAGAAAAACCTAAGTTCCTTTTAAGGTGAACTTGTGCAAAGTCTTTTTCTTGTATTGTCAAGAAATTATCCTTACCTTTCATCTACTCCACCTTCAAAACAGATCTTTTCGGTTATCCTTATGAGGAAAAAGATCACATAAACTATAAGCCACCCTTCACCAAAACAACATGTATGTTGACCTTGGGAATCTAAGAGAATCCTTTGTAGCCTGGCAGGGCAGGTTGCATATTCTAGGCACAGCAGTCAAAAGTGATATGACTTTAATGATTTAGCTTGCTTTGTAAATTATGATAATTATGCTGCATTTACTTCTTTGAAAGATTTGCTCTTTCGATTTATATATATTAAAATATTTATTGATGACTTTATGTAATGTGTAGGATGGCCTTCACAATAATCCAGAAGTACAAGGGAGAGGGGGAGGTTGATGGGCGTGGGTACACAGAGATTCATTATACTTTTCTCTTTACTTTTGTATGTGTCTGAAAATTTCTGTAATAATTTTCAATATATTTATGAAGGAAATGTCCTCTTAGGGCGCAGAGTACTGCTTTACCTTCTTTTTCCTTAAGGACACAGAGCAGCAGTTCTTTTCAGCTCCCTCCTGTATAATCAAACCAGCTTTTTACAAGGGTCTTACATAGATCTGTAAGATAAGTCCACCGCAGTCATGCAGAATGGGTCCCTTTTGACTTTTTAATAAGGGGAATTTGCCTAGATAATAACATTTATTGAATATGCTGCACATTCAGTGTTATTGAAAGATGGGAGGAAGGTTTAGACTTCCTTCAGTATTTACTCCTGTGTTAAAAAATGTCAATGTGAAGAGGTTATCCAAAGTGGAAGAATGAAATCTTAGTTTAATCATTTGTGAAATAGTGACTCAAAAGCCTTTACAGTTCTTTGAAGCTGCCAGACCTGGACGTATGTGATGGGAGACATCAAAGGATTCTATGTATAGATGTCTGTATTTCTTTGTACCACCTTAGTTCAAAAATTTTACCATCTAAGTGTTTTTCAAATTACATAAAAGCAGATAAGTAGGAGTGTGTTGTAGTTTATTTTCTTTAAGCAAACCCAAGAATGTATTTCTTTTTTTGACAATTTACATGGCAAAGCACATATTTAATTTGTTAATCCAAGAGAAGTTTAAAGAAACTACCTACCATAGGCTTTGCCCCAATATTTGGTAATTTTCTACTTGGACTAAAGCTAGAGAATTACTCCACCACTGATCTGAGCATTGCTTTGTACAGATAGGTCATCAGTCTCCCATTAAACTAAGCAGGTGGGACATTCTAATAGTTGAGTATTAGGCAATTTCTTCAAGGATATTGGTTCTTTCTGCTTCCTTGTCTAATCTCCAAAGTAAAAAGGGAAAGATTTATACAATCTGAAGAGAAACCAGAGTGATGCTGATATGCATATCTTATTTTTCCCTTACAATGACTTTAGTAATTTTTTAAATAATCAGAATTTTAAAATCAGGGTATAATACAAAAACAAAAATAGGATGGTAAATTTTGTGTACTGTGTATCTGTGGATGGCAGGGTGAGAAAAGTCTTCTGTGATAATTGTGATTTGTTAATATAGTTAATTTAGAGAAATTAATAGGAAACTTTTAGAAAATCCTGTTATAATTAACAATATCTCCATCTCCAGCCCTAGAATATTTGAACAAATCTTTTAAAATGTATCTTAATTGGGCTAGGGATTTAGCTCAGTGGTTCACCCGCCTGCCTCCTAAGCACAAGGACCCAAGTTCGATCCCTGGTACCAAAAAAAAAAAAAAGTATCTTACTTAATACATGAAAATGACATGCATATAACATATTTTGATCATGACCATCCCCCATTATCTTCCTACACCCTACACCTTTATTTCCCTCCTCTTATCTAACAGTAGTATCCAGTTTACTTCCATACTCTTAATTTGTTTGCTTAGTTTCCATATATTACAGGAAACATGTGATACTAGTCTTTTTGAGTCTGACCTGTTTCACTTAACATGATCTCCAGTCCCATTTATTTTCCTGCAAATGACATAATTTTGTTCTTTGTTATGGCTGAATAATACTCCATTGTGTACATATACCACATTTTCTTTACTCATTCATCTAAGTGCCTGGGATGGTTCTGTATCTTAATTATTGCCAGATGTGCCACAATAAACATGGGTGTGCATGTATCCCTATAGTATGATCATTTTAATTCCTTCATGTATATATATCAAGGGTTGATATGGTTGGATGATTTAATAGTTCCATTTTTACATTTTTGAGGAGCCTACTAATTTTAACTGTGGCTATACTAGTTTGCATCTCCACAAATAGTATAGAAAGTTTCCTTTTCCCCTACATCCTTAAGAACATTTATCACTTTTTGGTATTCTTGATAATAACCATTCTGATCAGGGCAAGTGGCATTCTCAGCGTAGTTTTAACTTACATTTCCCTGATTAGAACTTTGTTGTAAATTTTTAATTTTTTTGTACATGTTTCCAGTACATAATGATTACATTCATCATGGAGAATTGCTACATGTTCATAACACATCTTAATTTTACTTCTCCCTTTCATCCTCTTCCTCCCCTCTCATATACACTTATAGACCATTTGTACTTCTTGAAGAAGTGTCTGTTCCACTTTGGGGGATGACGCACTCCTGTAATCCCAGCACTTGGGAAGCTGAGGCAGGAGAATTGCTTCAAGTTTGAGGCCAGCTTGGGCTCATAGTGCATTCAAGGCCAACCTGAACAACATAGCGAGACCCTGTCTCAAGAACAGTGTCTGTTCAACTCATTTGCACATTTATTGATTGGGTTGTTTGTTTGTTTGACATTTGGTATTTAACATGAAGGTTTTTTTGAGTCTTCATATATTTTAGATAATAATTCTTTGTCTGAAGAAGTGCTGACAGAGTTTCGCCCAATCTGTAAGCTGTCTCTTTATTGTTGATTGTTTCCATTGTGGTACAGAAGCTTTAAATTTGATTTATCCCACTTTTTGATCTGTGCTATTATTTTCTGTGCTGTTGGAATTCTAATCAAAAAATCTTTGCTGTGCCTATACCTTCAAGTGATTTCCCTGTGTTTCCTTTTAGCAATTTCAAAGTTGAAGATCTTCTATCTAGGTCTCTGATCCATTTTGAATTCACTTGTTGTACAGGGCAAGTGTTAGGGTCTACTTTGAATCATCTCCATATAGAAAATTGTCTTTCCTCCAAAGTATGCTTTTAGCCCTTTTCTGAAGAATCTGACAGATGTAGTTGTGTGAGTTTGTTTCTATGTCCTCTATTCTCTTTCACTGGTTTACATGTCTATTTTTATGCCTATACCGTGCTGTTTTTGTTACTGTGACTTTGCCATATATTTTGAAATCACAACACATTCTGTGATGCGTTCAGCCTTGCTCTTTTTCCAATAATTAGTTTGAAAGCCAGATTGGAGAGAAAAATTAATATTTCAAGAAGTGTTATATTTCAGATATGCCTCATCAAATTGATAGGCTTTCAGGATAGAAGACAGTTTCTGAATGTAAGTTTACTTTTTTTCCCCCTTATTATAAGTCAAGATTTTAAAAGACTTAGAAAATGAAAGCAAATATTTATCATAGGTATATCCACAGGAACTTCTCCAAAATGAACTTTGAACTGGAGTATTCTTATTGGTATTATTGTTTTATCCATTTTGACTTTTTTTATCATAATGTCCTCCTTACAGAATAGTGGTGGTGAACCTAAGGCACGCATGCTGCTTGCCTTCATTGTTATAGAATGTTTAGTTAGCTTGGTTTCCTTTTCATAAAGAAAGGTGTGATACAATTTTTAGTATTCTGTAGGACTCCAAAGCCTTGGTACATTAGAATTATAAATGAACAGTCAAATAGCTGAAGGGTAAACTCCTTTTTTCTCCCCCTACTTCCTACCCACAAACCTGTTTTCTTTTTCTTTTTTTACAACTTTTTGTACAGGTACCATATTGATATGGCTTTGGATCATTTCACTTCTTTTTTTTTTTTTTCTGTTTTTGGTACTGGGGATCGACCTTGGGCTTGGGAGGCAGGCACCAGAACCACTGAGCTAAATCCCAGCCTGGATTGTTTCTTATTTACAAAGACTGATCAGTGCATTTTCTGTGTTTGTTTAGGAGTCAGATGGCCAGGGTTGCCCCTTCTGTCGTTGCGAGATCAAAGGAACAGAGCCCATAATTGTGGACCCCTTTGATCCCCGAGATGAAGGCTCCAGGTGCTGCAGCATCATTGACCCCTTTGGCATGCCCATGCTGGACCTGGATGATGATGACGACCGGGAGGAGTCTTTGATGATGAATCGCTTGGCAAATGTTCGAAAGGTAAAGCTAGAAAACATAGGTTAGAATAGTGAGAGACCATGAGAAGATGTTGTCATAAATGGAATACGACTGAGCATATCTGGGCTTGGGAAAGAGATTCACAAGTAAGGTGAAAAATGTAATCAGCACTGACAAACTTACAAAACCATTGACTGAAAGAGAACTGAGCTACTCTGTTTACAGTATTCACACTTAAACCTTATAATGACAGGTGGTAAGAGTGTTTGTAAAGAATTAAACATATAAGACTGGAATAACACTTCTCTGAAGAAAAAAATTGAGAAAGGAAATTACTGCATTTGGAAATGGTAAAACTAAACTTGATTGATATTGTTATGTGTAAAAGTATCTGATGGCATGATTTTCATAAGAGAAGGCCATCCTGCTATTTTGTTTCTAAAAAAGAGATCACATAAAATTTATCATTATGAATTTGCCGTAGTCTGGGTTTGCTCATCAACATTGTCAGTTCAGAAAATTGACTTCAAGGGTTCACTGCAAGAAGGTGCTACTGCCCATTGGAATTTTTACACCCAAATTCATAAAAGACAATTCAGAAAACTAGAATGCTAATTTACAAATCAGAATTATAATGGTTAAGAGAACTGGGTTCCTCAATATCAGGCTACTCTGTGTACAGAAATATACATAAATTCCAGAGTACATTAAAAATCAGAGATGGGAAAGCAAGTGTTACACAACTAGGGTGTCCCTTGTTCTCCAGATTCAAGCAGGCAGGGCCCATCAGTCGTGACACTCACTCCTGCAGAGTTCATCCAGGCTTGGCCTACAAAGCCATTCAACACAGTCCTACAGAACTTCCACTGTATTTCATCAGACTTTGGCAGGTAACACGAAAACTATTTGTCATCCAGGTGGAGTGATGATATTTAATCGCATGAGATTTTGTTCACTGTGTGCATCTGTCTTTGTAGTAGGAAAATATTTGGTGTAGAGAAGGAACAAGGCATTTCTTAGGGTTACTTCCAGGCTGTGTCCAGCATTTTCTCTGTTCCACTGTTCCATGCTGACCAAAGACATTCTCTTTTGCATGAATATTTCTGCATAGGAAAATATGTTGACATTACAAGAAGGCTACTCTGGAATTTTGCTTTGAGCTAGGGTGATTTTTGTTCTTCACATCATTAGTGTTTCATAAATTTCATAAGTTTACTGAAAGAGAAACTGTATTTTACTCTTTAATGCCAACAATTATATTTAGTTTTTAGTTTCAAATTATGCCATCTCTTTGACTCAAGAGATGGAAGACAGGGAGTCATTACTTCTTAGCTACCCTAAAGGAAAAACAAGGAAATAAACTAAAACAGAGAATTGAAACTTGAATCTCAAAACAACTAGAGTTTTACTTTTAGGAAGACCTGGAATAAAGTTCCATTTCTATTAAAGATCACTACAGAGGTCTGAGGGAGTTACTTAACCTCATCCTTCCTCAGGTTCCTCACAGTGACAGTGACTTCTCCAACGAGTGCTATGATGATCAGCTGACACCAAGGATTTAAGAACCCAAGGCAGAACGGGTCACTGAAATCACAAACATTTATTGTTTTATCACACATATCAACTAAAATTAATACCATAGTGTTATATGGTATGTATTCTAGGATGTGTCTCATAATCTATGTTAGTAGAAATCATTTCGTCCTCTGCATATGAGTGAGCTACATGTGGAGTACTGGAGATTTGTTTACTGTTATGGAGAAGTCATGACTTTGAATACTGGCTCTGTGATTGTCAATACAACTACATCACATATCTAATCTGAGCCTCATTTCCATATCTGAAAAGTATAATACCCACCTCCCCAAGTTATTGAGAGGAGAAAGTAGTATATGCTATCAATATTAGTTTCACTGATTTATTGCTTTGTTTTTTCAATTAACTGAAGACACTTTTACATGTGGCATGATACATATTTAAGTGATTAAATACAGGTAAGCTCCTTGGTTTTATATCTTGGTCTGCAAAGTCTAAAACATCTGCTACCTGTCTCTTTAAGTAAACATTTGCAATCCTAGGTCTAGGACACAGTATGCATTTAAAGGATGTTTATTGAATCCAAGGATAATAGAAAATGACAGAAAAATAGTTGAGAATCATGCAGCAGCTCAAGTGACCTAGATTCTAGTATTTCCTAGCTAGGAAAAAGTTAGCATTTCAGTTTTCTTTACTAAATGGTTTTCTCCTTTCAGTGTTCATATACAGGCAGGGGCTGAGGCTTTAAGAATAATTCTCTTAACTCAACTCCTAATAGCACTTCAACAGTGAGCTCATCAATGGATTAACCTGTTGGTGAGGTTAGCGCTGTCATGGTCCGGTCACCTCCCTAACCCCCATCACTGAACATTGCTGTACTGGGAGATCTAGCCCTCAATATAAGATTGAGGGGGGAAGTTATTTAAACCTAGCATTTGGTCATTTTGACACAATAGATCTTCCATCTGAATTTTCTTCCTCTGTGTTTTATAATCATTCTATTATTACCTCATTCATTTCTCTTTAAAACATTACATTTTCTCATCTCTAAGAGTGACTGTTAGTCATTATACATCAGAATGTTTCTATTTTTTAATCTCAGATACTCATCTTTATATTATTTTCTAGTTGATAACTATATTGTGAATTTTTTTTCTGCCTGTCTTAAGCTTATTACATTCTTTGAATTAGTAATGCTTCCATCATAGCACAGAGGACCAAGTCGATTGTATATTTCTCTTACCATGGTGATATCCCATGGCTCAAGTTTATAAATAGTGGCAAACTGATCATACAGGATGTATTTTTAATATTTTTTTATAAATTAAGTGTACTGAATGCTTATTTTTATAGAAGCAAATAGAACCTATAAGTATAAAACACTGAGCTGGTTGCCTTCCTCGGTAGAATTTGTATTTTTTGCTTTAATTAGAAGATGTTTTAGATTTTTCCTGAGTCTGTCTCATGGACTGAATTCTTGAGCTGTCCTATTTCCAAGATAATTGTATCTAATGTGAGACCTCAGAGGAAATTCAGGTGTCGATTGGTAAAAATATCATGATCTCTCTAACTTCAGTTAGATTAGAGCTAAGAAAAGGAATCTTTTGCTACACAGAGATTTGCTTCCATTTGCTAAGGATGGGAGGGAAATTTTAATAGTTTACTAGCATATGTTGATGGAACATATTAGTCATCAAATATATAAAGGCACATATTGATGGACTGAGTGAATAAATCTAGATTTATTCCTGTTGTCTTAAACAGTATAGCCTCTTAAAACAGTATTTAAGAATCCTAATAAATGAGTGTCTGTAGTACTGTAGAACAAAAACAGATGTGATCAGAGGTCAAGGAAGTTCTTTTTATCTTAGTTTTAGATTCTTGTAGTGTTGGCTTTTGTTAATTAAAATATATGTGACTAAAAACATTAATGTCATCATTGCTTTTCCTAATAATAATATTTTGTCAGTGAAATATTCTGCCCATCAACTGGTGACTGGATAAAGAAGATGTGGGGTTTTTTTATAAAAATAAAATGGAGTACTACTCAGCCATAAAAAACGAGAAACTAGAGACATTTATAGCTAAGTGCATATACATTGACACCATACTATAAGTGAAATAAATAGGACATGCATATGTAAATACCGAATAATTTCTCTAGTGTGAGAAATTGAAAGTGTAAATGAGGATCAAAGTGTATAACAGATAATGTGAAATAAGAAGAAAAGGTCCAAAGGAGAAGGGCAAGGGAAAGTGAGAGGGTAGGAGAAAGGAAAGAAGGAAAAGGAATAAATATGAGAAAAGGAAAAAATGGAAAAAAAGTCTTTGTAAATAGGGAGGGGAGGAGGATTGAAGGGAGGGCAGGGGAATGGGGAAAAAACAACAAGATATATCATGTAAAGATACAAATTCCCAAAGATAAATGTCATATTATCATATTATGAATTAAAATTCTGATCCTAAGGAAAAAATTCATATATACAGATTATAGAGTTGTTGTAGTATTTTTAGGAAGATGTTACCTTCTTTATATTTTTGATTTACATCCTACCCACCAGACTAGAGTCCATATTGGAATAGTAAGAACAAGACTTGCAAAAATGAATGCAAAATTTAAAATAGATGATCAGAATGTGTAACATGGCTTTCAGCTGGGGCCAATTCCGCCTCTTCAAACTTATTGAGACTTTTTTGGGTTTAAATAATGACAGAAGGATGGAGAGTAATGCTGGCACTGAGAGAGAAGGGACAAGAGATGCTCACCATAGGATGAGTCCTACCCAAAAAGAATTATTCTGCCACATGCCAGTAGTCCTGGCCTCTCCCTTTATGCTGTCCTCATGTGAAGTTGTGGATGACAAGAGGCCATCTTAAGGTGCAGGTTCATTGTTGACATTTACTTGCATTCTCTTTACTGACTTTCCTTAAAGTTCATCATGAAAAATAGTGGCATTTTCCATATTTATGAAGGAGGAAGGCATGCCTCATCCAAGTGCTATATGGTGTTATAGGTGATGGTGAAGACATTGTTTCATAGCCCTCAAAAATTGAGCATGAAGCATATTAGGAAACTCAGGTCTTGCATTCAGCTTTGAGTCCAGATGCTATTGCAAAGTGTCAGGTTTCAGAAGGCTGGGGCTTCGCCTTATTCTTCCCTTCATTATTGGAGCCTCACATAACGCCTGACATGCAGTAAGCCCTTGAAAAAGACATTTGCTGAATGATTAATGGTGACACTGTTTCCCATTCTTAGTGAGAGATATCTTTCCTGGAGCTGTATTGTCTCAGTTAAGGGTGTAGTTTTGCAATTAGTATCTATGTGCTTTACATTATATTTAGGAAGAATAAATATCAAAATTGTATTGATTTAGCAAGAAGCTGGTTGTTTTCCTTAAATGTATTTTCTGCCTAGTTATAATTTCATTGCATGGCTACATAAAATAATTTACTATAAAACCATGTTTCATGTTTGAGAATGCAAAGTTGCCAACATGTCAGCTAAA